GGCACCTGGTCTCTTCCAGTCCTTGGCCAGTGTTACCATCAGTGCAGCAAAAGCTATCATCATAGAAATTAGCGGAAGTATATGAAGACTTGCAATCAGGATGCTTAAGTTTGATTTCATCCACATACCATTTAACCTAGGAACAAGTCATTTAACCTGCTAATCCTTGTTTTATTGTTTAAAAAAAAAATAGGGGGAATTGTATTTACCCTGTAACTTGGGTTTTTAGCCTATAAAATTAATTGTTTTTATTTGTGCCTTAAGATTTTTACATTCAATCCTTCTTTTGTTGTGTTGTTTTTTTTTGAGACTTGGAAAAGATAAGCAAAAAAGATCATTACTTATTAATATTTTGGACTTAAAACATTCTTGTGTTTGACTTACTAGGGTTTACGTTTCAAGAAGGCCCATGTAACACATCCTGAACTGAAAGCCACCTTTTGCCTGCCAATACTTGGTGTAAAGAAGAATCCCTCATCCCCACTTTATACAACTTTGGGTGTTATTACCAAAGGTACTGTCATCGAGGTGAACGTGAGCGAGTTGGGCCTCGTGACACAAGGAGGCAAGGTTATTTGGGGTAAGTGTATTTTCTAGTATGGAGATGCTACTCTTGTAATCCTAAAAATAGGAAGTTTCAGGTTGACACAGTACACAGCACATTTTAATGCAAAAAAGTTAGATATGTTCAAACTTGATGTAAATCAGATTTAAATCTTTAGGAAGAATTTTTTTCGTAGAAAAAGTAGTTATGAATATCATTCTTTGTAATTTAGCTTATTGGTTTCAGTTATAAGATGTACTACATTGCTAGATTTTTATGCTGCTTATTTAAAAAGGTATTAATTAAAAGGGCAGCAGACACAAAGATATGATTATAACTAAAAAATATTGGAAGAAAAGACAATAAATTAACCATGAGTGGGGAAAGGAGGCATACCTCAAACAGCCACACTATTTCAGTAATAATTAAAAACTAAAATGTGTTTTTTCCTCATTTTCTTCTTTTAGTGGCCAGGTATTTCTAAACTTGAATGTTCTTTGAAAGGGAAGAATATGTTCTGTAACTCTTAAAAGTGGAAAATTAGAAATACTGGGGCAAAGATTATATTCTTTAAAATTAATTTTTACTAGCTAACATCCCTCTTTTTCTCCATTTTGTTACCTTAGGAAAATATGCCCAGGTTACCAACAATCCTGAAAATGATGGATGCATAAATGCAGTCCTGCTGGTTTGAAAGCAGTTTCATACAAGTAACTCCTTATAATTATTGACGACTATGCACCAATCAGGAAAACTCCTTACTGTGATGTTTCTTAATACTATCTCACAGCTTATATATCTGCAGTCAACAACTATTTATTCTATTGTCAAGAACATTAAAATGGCCTCTTTTACAAATTAGTCTTTATTTTTTGGTCTGTTTATCATTTAGATGTTCATGAAATTGAATGATAAAAAAAGCAGTTATGGCAGTATCCTCTTCATCAGTATTTTTTTTGTTGTTTTTAAAATTTTTTTTCCTTTATTGAATTTAGAGAGAGAGGAAGAGAGAGAAATAGAAACATTGATGAGAGAGAACATGGATTGGCCGCCTCCTGCATGCTCCCCCTAGGGATCAGGCCCACAACTTGGGCATGTGCCCTGACCAGGAATCAAACTGGCGACCTGTCGGTGCATGGGTCAGTGCTCAACCACTGAGCCACACTGGCCAGGCAGTATCTGTTTTAAATGGGTTCTCAGCAATGCAAACCTGTCATTTCTGGAAAAACCACTGTTGTGTAAAACACCTTTTATCCTAAGAGTTAGTGCTCACTTAATATGGGGCCTAGGTTATACAGCTTTATTATATCTAAAACATCATGTCATTATTCATCATTAATCCTAAAAAATGTAGCATTTACACATTTGATAATGTGTTAAATTTATAAAGTATTCACATTAGAGGTATACAAGAAAAGGTACACTATACTATACTAAATGGAACTCAGAACTTACTTAGATAAATCTTTTCACCTGTAATTAATCCCTGACTTCTTCAGACAGTGAGTCGTTAGTATTTTAAACATTTTTTTTTCTCATTCCATATAGTAACACCTGCTTAGAACTGTGTTTTCTACTTGAAACATGAGAAAACAGACTAAAATTATCCTCTTAGCATTTCTTATATTCTGAACTCAGAGTAGTTAATATTTATTAGAAAAATCTGTTTAAATCTAGGAAAAATGGTTTCAAAAAGGAAAAGACTGCACTGGTGGTCTTTAAGACAAATATTTGTAGTCACTTACATAATATAAAAAGATCATGTTTTAAGGTTGTAACTAGGTCAAGGTACTTTTGTGATATCAATTATATGTTTGTGGCTTTGAGCTTTAGGGTATCTTTATATTATAGTAATCTATACTTTTAAATTGTTTACTTAAACACATCGATGAAATTAGGAAAATGGGAAAGAATTTCAAAACACAGACCAAGAAACAATCACAAAATATAGGTTTAATTACTACATTTAAACTTAAAAAAAAAACTACCAAGAAAACAAACATGAGTACTTCAGTAAGACTTACTATTCTGAATAATAGAATATCTTTTCTAAGTTCTATAAACAGAAGTTTTAGAACAGACATTTAGGGAAAAAAAGGCTAGGCTATTCCTTGGGAATGACTATCCAGTACAATACAATTCAAGATGACAGAAGCTGAACCTTTCTTACAATTAGATTTTAACAAATGATTTTTCCACTAATAGAAATGGGGAATGTATGAATGACTTAGGTTTTGGAAGGTGAAAGCAAAACATGAACTAAAGGTAAGCACTTGATACTACAGAACTGAGGTCTGCTTGTTTTTTAGAACCAAAATAAGCAAATTAACTATCTTGTACAAAGCTTGATATTAAATATGCAAACAGAAGGAAAACTAATCACACCCATGAAATACTGGATAACACCTTAAACGATACTGATGTTAGACATACAAGGCAGAGATATATCTGTAAAATACTGTTAACACAGATGAGTAATGTTAGTATAAATTCTTTATTTACACCTTAAGAATCTGTTTCAGTTTGCTGGTGTGATAATCCCTAAGGGTAAAGCAGAACGTAAGAGCAGATATTAGATACCAGGTAAATGCTCAATTTGATGTAATCATAAACCTCCAAGATGCATTTCCCAAGTCACTGAAACCATTTTAGTTAGTGTAGTGTTCTGGTGGTCAGCAAAAAGTGAACCATTAATCACTAGCAGTTAACCTTCTTGTGATAATTATCTGTACTTATTGGAAACACCATGAATATAGACACAATTTAAGCAGATGACTGACATTCTGTCATGCTTTTTGATTTTATAAAAAAATCATAATAGACCCTCTCACCTTTAAAAGTTATAGAGGAGCTTTATAATAAATTCTTAAATATACTTATTTCTGTGATGTCTAGCAACTGAATAAACTTAAAAGTAGAACTAAAATTTTGCTAATAACTGTTTGCTTTATATTACACAAGGAAATATATGCATATTTACACAAACTGAAGTGAACTCCCTTCTCCACAAATAAGACTTCTAAACAGGAAACAATTCACAAAGGACTACAGAATGGAACTGGACACTACAGTAGAACAGCTGTCCTCTAATTCTGAAAGTTTTACTAATGACTTGCAAAAACAAGTATCTGATTAAGTTTTATTTAATTTCCTTGTTGAGGATATATTTATAAATTCTATACTCACTGAGTATAGAACTCATTTACTGAAAATGAACATGTTATTGAATGTGAAAGAGGTTTTCCCATGTGACTCAACTTTTTCTCCTCTACCATCTATAAACGTCAAAATACCATTTTCTGTCAAATAATATGTTACAAGTTTTCTTGTGTGCTGAAGAAAATGTTTTGAAATTGCTTAAAATGCACATCTTGCTTAAGAATAAACTAAACAAGTTTAACAAGTATAGGTTTATACTTACTCCCGAGCAATCATATATGAATAACTAAACATTTCTTTTTGTAAATTCAAGCAACTATAGTCACACATGAAGTTGTCAGTGAGCTCAATCTTCTTCGATTACACCTTTTTAAAGAAAGTATTTTAAAGAGAACAATGAATAATCCAAGTAAAAAAGTAAAATAAGTGTTCGATTTTTCAATCTATTACAAGATTAAAAATGGAAAGGTTATTAGAACTTACTAAATCTTAAATCTTTATTTCCCTATTTGTGGTTTTAACAAAAGTTTTTCATAAAATGTATAAGAGAACATAAACATTTGATAGATAACTAGTATTACTCATACTTATTCTTTCACTTATTCAGCATTTTTGGGAAATAATTTGCCAAAGTGCTCTAATTTTCACTTAGAGTGAAATCTAGCTTACCCCAACCAATAATGAAAGAAAATTTGGGGATACAAGTATTCAAAATTTTACAGTAATTAGGAAGGTTTGCTATTTTGACTGCTTAAAGGTTTTAACTTAGATCTTTGTAAAATACCAGCATTCCAAAATAAAACTGAATGACATCACCTGACTGGTCTAAAAAAAACAAAACCTTTAACATCAATCCTTAGCACCTCAAATAATGACAAAAAGTTATAACATGTTTTCTTTTTATTAAGGACCAAGCTTGTTTTAAAAACAAAGTGGTCTCAAAGCATTCTTCAACTTAAGTACACATCTGAGTAGTATTGTTTCAAGATTCTCTTTGGATCCTAAGAATAACCATTTTATTCATTTCTAAATAAATTACAAAAATTTAACAATGATTTTGTTTTTTAAGTTTTCCTAGGCAAAGGCCTTTGCTATGGCAACACAATGAACAGGCTAGCTTGTAACCTATCCTCACAGAACAAATCAAGAGTAAGCAAGACCAAAGGGACAACCAAAGCCTTCAATTTGATTTAAGCTCTGGTAACTATAGCTCTTAGGGCAACTTTATCGCTACCACCTAGGTCTAAAATTGTGGGGCGCAGTTTCATACCTACCCAAAAATGGATGCCAAGGGCATAAGCTGGCAGGCCGGCAGGCAGGAAGACCTTGTGACAGGAATCACTCCGTGAGTTAGGGAAGTGGATGAGAGCTGAGAGGAATATAAATAAGATTATACAATAAAGCAGTGGCAGGATTAAGGAGAAGTCTTAGGACGGGTCCTCTTCTGATGTGCACTTTTGATGTTAACCAGGTGAAGACAAAAGTATAGTCTCCAACTTCAAATTTTAAATAATTATATTAGTACCTACATGCCAGAGTTCAATCCCTAGCAGTACTCTTAATATTAGATGTTATAAAGAGTTGGAAAGTTTGTACCTATTTGGACATTGAAGTCAAAGTCAAACTGCATCTATACAACATTGAATTAAGAGACCAAAATATCACCCTCATACACCTTTGACCATAAATTTCTGTATTTGTGCTCTCATTTAGTTGAAATCATTCTAATTTACTGACATTTTTGTTTAGGCATGCCTACATTTTTTAAAAATGGTGATTAGTTTTGATAATTAAGCTAAAACTAGAACATTCACAAAGTTTACTATTAAAACACTTCGTGTAAAAGATTTCTGTGATCCTCACAAGTAATGGAAAGCCTATGACTTTCAGTTTTTTAATTTATATTTCCTGAAAGTTAACGGTCAGATGGCCCCAACTACTAAAGAAAATACAGTATGATCTAATTTCCCCAAATTGAACCATGGTTAATAAAAATTAAAAAACTGTATTTACACAAAATAGCCTGAAAAATTAAAAATGGTGAATCCTGGGTCCTAAGGGGGAGGAAAAAACTGCATCATAAATAAGCTCAAATTGAAATTTTGGAATTTTTGTCCTGTGCCCCGTGCTATTTATTACCATATTTTAAAAACAATTATGATACAAAGAAGAGGATTTATCATCTGCACTTCTTCATTTAGGTCAGCTTGGCTTTCTTCTTAGCAGGTCCTTTATAACCTTTGGCCTTTCTTCTTAAATTCCGCCTGTCTACAACAGGCACTTCCACTTCTATTTCCTCTGAGCTGCTATCCACAGTTTTTTCCGTTGATTGTGTAAACTGATCCAGTTGCTCAGAAGATGCTTCAGACTGCTCCTCTGACTGGTTCTTCTGTCCTGCATTCTGTGAAAATGGCACATCTTCCAGTTCAACCTCTATCAAAGAACTCTGAGGAAGAGCTGTAGATGTTTCCTGGGGCTCAGCCACCCCCTCTTCACCCTGGTCTTCCAAAGAGGAAGTAGTGTTGGGTGATAAATTTTCAGAGATCGATTCTTCAGAAAATTCAGCTATCACAGAGTTTGGAAAACCACTGTCAGATCGTTCTTCATTTGGGACAGTAGCAACATTGTCTGAACTGCCAAAGTGCGCCTTCTTTCTGGAAACTAATGGCAGTTTCTCTTCCCCGTGCCCCTTTTCATCAGATGGGCCTTCGTCTAGCAACATTTCTGAGTCAGTTATATGTGAGGTCTAAAAATAATTAAAAAAAAAACTGGTGAACAAACTACTGCAATATGGTTCTTACAAAAATTATTCTCAGAAACAAATATGTAATGACCCTGAACTGCATCTTAAAGAATTCAGTACTTGTCACTTTAGCTAATCATGTGTACAATATTCTGAATACAACTCAATTTCTTCTAAATTGTCTTTTTTTTTAAATCCTCACCTGAGGATATTTTTCCATTTATCTTCAGACAGAGTGGGAGGAGGAGAGGGAGGAAGAGGAGAAAGAGAGAAATCAGTGTGAGAGAGACACATCGATTCGCTGCCTCCTGCACAACCCCGACCAGGGCCGGGGACCAAACCACAACTGAGGTATGTGCCCTCGGCTGGAATTGAACCCGAGACTCTTTGGTCCTCAGGCCTACGCCCTAACCGCTGAGCCAAACGGGCCAGGGCTTCAAAACTGTCTTTTTTATCATTTGGATACATGAAGTTCTTGCTTTAAGGATATTATAAAAGAAATAATTTTATCTCAAAAAGTACTCAAGATATTTTAAACTTCATATTAAGATTCTTCAAAGCCATGATTCAACTCAAAAGTTTTTATTTTCTTAGTGTTACTGGAGCCAGAACCAAGAATCCCTTGGGACTTGACACTGTGCCACCCTACTAACTATGGTTTTGTTAGATGACAGGTGAGGGGAATGAAAATTTTATTCATTTATTTGTTTGAGATGCCAATAACATAATGCTATACAATAGTTTCTTAGCCTTAAATTAAAATATTCTAAATAAAAAAGTGAAACTTTAAAAATACTCCATTAAGTTTCCCCACTAATTTAAGCTATCTCCCCAATTAAAAGAAATTAAAATGCGTGTGTAAGCAATAGGTATTCAAATATTTGGTAAAAAAATATTTTATCCATTTTTCTAAGATTTTCCCTTTACAAAGTAAAACTCATTTTGTTACCATAAATCAGATAAGAATAAGGTAATAAAGGTTTGACTATGAAATGTTACTGATTGCATCTTTGTAAAATACCAAATTTAGTATAAAATTTAATTTTCCTAAAGGTCTTTGCATGTTAAGGTGGAGGAAAATATACATACTACACTGCCTCTACCATGTCACCAACACTGGAATATATTAACAACAAAAAATTACGTTATTTCCCTCTTACCTTATCCTGTGCAACAACCTCAGGGGGTTTTGAAGATTCTACCACCAGTGGGACAAGATTTGTAGAGTCTTCACTGGAATTAAAAGGCTGCAATTTTAATTCTTCATCTAAAACTTCGCTAGTGGAGTCCTCCTCCTCAGTTATAAGAGAGGTCTTAAGAGTATCGTCCATTATCTCACCATTCATAGGCTCTAATTCAGATTCCTACACCATCAGGGGAAAAAAATAAGTTAGGACAGATTACAGACTAATGCATCTGTCATGCAAGGTGGGTCCATTCTCAGTCCCTATCTGTCGTGCACCAGGAATCAAAATAAATTGTACCACATTGTAGGGCAGGCGTTAAAGAATAGTCCTCCTACCAGGGGGAATGGGAAACTTTTGAGGCAGGGTCAGGAAAAGAAAAGAATCCGTAGGTACCCCAAACTCCCCGTTATCATGAAGAGAGAGGACAGGACTCGGATGCACTATGGACACAGTGTGGGTCTGAGATTCAGTAAAGGACCCTGACCCTTCCTACTCTTCCTTCTTAAGGGCAATCACGAGAGGAACCTTTTCAATAAAAACACAGAGAGAATCTCAATGTGGTGCCACCTCTTTGCAGACACCAGCTGCTCAGCACTTGGTTTACCCTGCCAGGGGGAAGGAACACTAGCAAACTTGTGGGAAGCTGAGTTTGGCTACAGGTTCTTGCAGGGATAAAAGAGCCCCAATCTTAGTTCATTATCTAGTCAACCCAAGGTCATTTCTGAACAATCCCACTCCTTACACTGCATTACAATATAGAAAAGTGATCTGATAGCACAAACTCTCCAATTTCTGAAAATCTTCCAATGTTTATCAATGTACAAGACTTCTATTTAATATCTAATATTTCTGATCCTAGTGATATTCTAATCATTAGAGGGAATTTTATTACCACTTTAAAAATTAAAAAACTGATACAACAAGTACTCAGAAATAGATTTGGTTGAACTATATAGAACTCTTGAAATCATATAAAGAACATTTTCCATAGGAAAATTGAAATCAGGGACTTAGGAAAATTAATCTGGTCAGATAGTATACAAAATAGCTTACACGCAGAAGGCAATTATAATAAAACTCATAAAAGGACCAACTAGGGTAGGAGAAATGTTAAAGGAGGAAAATGAAAAAGAGAGCAAACGCTTTAAAAAACAGAATTCTGATAACTAAAAGTCAAAAGCAACAGAAGAGAAAAACTCAGTTTAGTCAGTTTTAGTTTTGGGAACAGAATGAAAGATAAGAAACAAGAAAAAAGGCTTAATACAGAAGTGATTAAGAGAAAAACAGTCCAGCCGGTGTGGCTCCATGGTTGAGCATCAACTCATGCACCAAGAGGTCGCCGGTTCGATTCCCGGTCAGGACACATGCCCAGATTATGGGCCAGATCCCCATCAGGGGTCATGCAGGAAGCGGCCTATTGATGTTCTCTCTCATCGATGTTTCTATCTCTCTCTCCCTTTCCCTTCTCTCTCTCTCAAGGCAATAAAGAAAAAATATTTTAAAGAAAAAAACAGATTATGTTGAATTTAAGATGATAAAAAGACATCTGTCTAAACAGAAATAATCAGAAGGCAAGTAACATGAGACTAAACTCTGGATCAATATTGAAAGTCTAGAGTTATTGGTCAACTTCTTATTGAGCCATTAGACTGGATGCATTTTCAAAAGAGAGAACATGAGCCAAAGAGCAGAGAGTCAAGAACAGAGTCTTTTAGAATGTCCACAAAGGAAAAAAAGCAGAAAGCAGAACAGTAAGGAAAAAAAAAAATTAAACCCAAAGAAAACTTAACAGATAGTACAGTTGGGTTATATTTTTTTCTTCTTTATTGATTTTAGAGAGATAGAAAGGGAGAGAAAGATAGAAATATCAACGAGAGAGAACATCAACTGGCTGCCTCCTGCATGCCCCCACTGGGGATTGGGTCCACAACCTGGGCATGTGCCCTGACTGGGATGAACTGGCGACCTCTTGGTGCATGGGTTGACGCTCAACCACTGAGCCACACTGGCCAGGCTCTAGTAAAGTTACTAAAGCCAGGGGGCTAGAGAATCCTGAAGAGAGAGTAGTCAATCCAGGTAAGGAAGTCCACTGGAATTGAATGAAAGTGTTATTGGTGACCTACAATAGTGTGTGCTCAATGTATTGTTGGACCAATGAAACCAGTTACATGAAGTATGTACAGTTAATATTGTTATAAAAAAAGAAAAATGCACACATATATATAGGCCTATAAGCCTCTAGGTGCACATAAATCTTTTTTGTTTAATGTTTTTATTTTTCAAATATAGTTTACATTCAGCATTACTCTGTATTAGTTTCAGATGTCCAGCAAAGTAGTTAAAAAATCATGTACTTTACAGAGTGGTCCCCTCGCTGCTTCAAGTACCCACCTGGCCCAATACATTTATTTTTTTCAATTTCTTCCTAGTATTTTTATTTATTTATTTATTTATTTTTTAAACTTTATTGTTGAATGTATTACTGATGTTCCTCCTTTTCCCCCTACTGACCCCCTCCTCCCGGCTCCCATCCCGCTCCTGTCTTTCCCCACACTGTTGTCTGTGTCCATTGGTTATGCATATAAGTTCTTTGGTTAATTTCTCCCCCACCCCCACCCCCTTTCCTTTTGAGGTTTGTCAGTCTAATAATCAATTTGTACTTCTTAATCCCTTCACCTATTTTACCCATTCCCCAACCCCCTCCCATCTGGAAACCAACAAAATGTTCTCTGTTTCTATTCTGCTTGTTCATTTTGTTTGTAGATTCAATTGTCGATAGATATGCATTCATTGCCATTTAGTTTGTTCATATTTTTTATCTCTTTCTTCAAGAAGACCCTTTAACCTTTCATATAATAACGGTTTGGTGGTGATGAACTGCTTTAGCTTTTTCTTGTCTGGGAAACTCTTTATATGGCCATTGATTCTAAATGACAGCTTTGCAGGCTAGAGTAATCTTGGATGTAGATTCTTGCATTTTTTTTCATCACTCTGAATATTTCTTGCCACTCCCTTCTGGCCTGTAAAGTTTATTTTGAGAAATCAGCTGACAATTTTATGGGAGCTCCCTTGAAGGTAATTAACTGCTTTTCTCTTGCTGCTTTGAAGATTCTCTCTTTGTCTTGAATCTTTTGCATTTTGATGATGATGTGTCTTGGTATGAGCCTCTTAGAGTTCATCTTGTTTGGTACTCTCTGTGCTTCCTAGACTTGTATGTCTGTTTCCTTCACCAAGTTGGGAAAGTTTTCTGTCATTATTGTTTCAAATAGGTTTTTAATTTCTTGTTCTCTCTCTTCTCCTTCTGGCACCCCCAAGATGCAAATGTTGGTACCCTTGAAGTTGTCCCAGAGGCTCCTTACACCATCCTCATTTTTTTGGATTCTCTTTTTTTTTTTTTTCTGTTCTGATTGGGTGTTTTTTGCTTCCTTATATTCCAAATTGATGGTTTGCTTCTTGGCTTTACCTACTCTACTATTGATTCCCTGTAAATTATTCTTTATTTCAGTTAGTGCCTCCTTCATTTCTGACTGTGCAATCTTCATTTCTGACTGGTCCTTTTTTATGCTCTTGAGGCCCTCACTAAGTTCAATGACGTTTTCACTAAGTTCATCCTTATAAACAGTGTTTTGAACTCCGCATCTATTAGGTTGCTTATCACCATTTTGCTTAGTTCTTTTCCTGGAGTTCTGTTCTTTCATTTAGGACCAGTTTGTCTTCTCATTTTGGCTGCCTCCCTGTGTTTGTTTCTGTGAATTAGTTAGAGTTACTATGTCTCCTGCACTTCCTAGGGTGGCCTGTTGTAGTAGGTGTCCTGTAGGGTCCAATGACACAGCCTCCTTGATCTCCCAGCTGGGCCTCTGAGGTGCACCCTCGTGTGGATTTTATACCCTTCTGTTGTAATTGAGTCTTGATTGCTGATGGCACATCAATGCAACGGTTTTACTCAGGTTGATCAGCTGTAAGGACTGGCTGTGCCCACTATCCATTGACCTCTGACTCCCTTGGATGATGAGCTGTGCAGAGGCCCACCACAAAGAGCAAGACTTACTTCAGCAGGGCTCTGGTACCCACTGTGTCCATTTCTTGAGTGTGTCACTTGTGGAGGTGGTTGGGTGGTGGTGTTTTGATGTGGTCTGAAGCTGTCCACTGGGTGTGCTGGCTTTGGGGCAAGGTCAGCCACTGCCTGTGTTCTACCCAAGGCCACGAGGTATAAACTACAAAGTGATCTGCTGATGGCTGCTTCTTGTGCTGGGCTTGAAGATGCTCAGGAAAAGCCAAGTTGTGAACCAGGCTGGCTGCTCCTAGTGCAGGCTGGGGCCACTTAACGAGAGGTATGGGGCTCACTGTGGCCAGATGCTGCTTGTTTGAAAGAATTTAGGAAAACCTGAAGCAGGATCCAAGACAGGCCAATCCTATGGTTAAGCAAGTGGCAACAGCTTGGGTGGGCCTGAAAGTTGGGTGGAGCAACCAGTGTGAGCCAAGTTGCTGGAGTCCCAGATATGGCAGCTGTCTGCTGCCCCAGGTAAAGGCTCACCAAAGGAACAAAGGCCTCTGACAGCACGTTTGTCCAGAAGAAAGCTGCTTCTCCAGCCCTCTCCCCAGTGCCAAACAGCTCAGTTCTTCCCCATATGTTGCTGGTACCTTTCAAGCTGACTCCCCCACACTGGATCTTGGAGGGTGCGAGTCCGAGTAAGTCCGTGCATGCGCCCTTTAAGAGGAGCTGCCTGGGGCTCCAGCAGCCTCAGCCTCCCTCAGCCTCAGGTCCTGCTGGTTTTACAGCCAGAAATGATGGGGACTTCTTTCCTGGCACTGGAACCCTGAGCTGGGACGGGGACCCCTCACTCCTCAGGGAGAACCTTCCCAGTCGAGGTGTCCTCCTGGTTTTTATCTGCCACATGTGGGTGTGGGGACCAGCCCATCGTGCCTCTGCCCTTCCTACCAGTCTCCATGTGGCTTCTTTTTTTTTATTTTTTATCCTCACCCGAGGACATTTTTCCATTTTTTGTTCAGGTAGAGTGGGAGGGAGAGAGAGAGAGAGAGAGAAAAACATCGACATGAAGGGACACATCGAGTGGCTGCCACCCGCACGACCGACCAGGGCTGGGGACAAACTGCAACCGAGGTACATGCCCTTAGCGGGAACCGAACCCGGGTCTCTCCGGACCGCAGGCCGAAGCTCTAACCGCTGAGCCAAACTGGCCAGGGCTCCATGTGGCTTCTTTAATTTCATAGTTGTAGGACTTCCATTCAGCTTGAGTTCAGGCGGTTTTGAATGATGATTGTTCTGTAGTTTAGTTGTAACTTTGATGTTATCACAGTATTACTGACTATATTCTCTGTGCTATAATTTGCATCTCTGTGACTATTCTGTAACTACCAACTTGTACTGCTTAATCCCTTCACCTTTTTCACCCAGTTCCCCAACCCCCATCTCCTCTGATAACTATCAGTCTGTTCTATGAGAGTCTGTTTTTATTTTATTTTGTTCATGACATTCTACATATAATTACGATCGTTTGGTATTTTGTCTCTGTCTGACTTACTTCACTTAGCATAATACCCTGTAGGTCCATCCATGCTGTGGCAAAAGGTAAGATTTCATTTATTTTTTACAGCCAAGTAGTATTCCATTGTGTGTGTATATGTACCACAGCTTTTTTATCCATTCATCTATTGAGGGCCCTTATTGGTAGACCACCTTCTTACACTATATAAAAGAATAAACTCAAAATGTAAGACCCAAAACCATAAAACTCCTAGAAGAAAACATAGAATGTAAAATCTCTCATATTTCTCTTAGCAATGTGTTTTCTGATATATCTCCTCAGGCAAGGGAACCATGGGAGGGGGGAATAAACAAATGGGTCTACATCAAACTAAAAAGGTTTTGCACAGCAAAGGAAACCATCAACAAAACGAAAAGACAACCTACTGAATGGGAAAAGATATTCATCAATGAAACATCTGATAAAGGGGTTAATATCCAAAATTTGTAAGGAACTCAGACAACTTAACACCCAAAGAACAAACAACCCAATGAAAAAGTGGTCAGAAGATGTGAATAGGCACTTCTCCAATAGATATATAAAAAGATGTACAATATTACTAATTGTCAGAGAACTGTAAATCAAAACTATAACAAGATACCACCTCACACCTGTCAGAATGGCTATCAGTAAATTACCAAACAACAGGCGTTGGCAATGATATGGAGAAAGGAACCCTCATGTACTGTTGGTGGGAATGCAGAATGATACAACCACTATGCAAAACAGTGTGGAGGTTCCTCAAAACATTAAACATAAAATTGCCTTATGATCCAGCAATCCCACCTCTGTGACTATATACAAAACCTGAAACACTGATTTGAAAGAGTACATGCACCCCTATGTTCACTGCAGCATTATTTACAATAGCCAAGATATGGAAGTAACCCATAATCTCTTTTTTTAACTATGTGCTTTATTTTCACAATTTTCTACAAGAAAAAAAAAATGCCATTTAAAAATATAATTTTATGCCTTGGCCGGTTAAGCTCAGCGGTTAGAGTGTCAGCCTGCAGTCCAGAGAGACCTGGGTTCGGTTCCCGCTAAGGGCACGTACCTGAGTTGCAGTTTGTTCCTGGCCCTGGTTGGGGTTGTGTGGGTGGCAGCCACTCAATGTGTCCCTTTCATGATGTTTCTCTCTCTCTCTCTTCCTCTCTCTCCCTCCTGCTCTATCTGAACAAAAAATGGAAAAATGTCCTCGGGTAAGGATAAATAAATAAAAAAATATATAATTTCAAGAAGTAGAGGAAGCTAAACTGGTGTAAGTTAAGTAAATAAAATGGATAATGTAGTTTTACTTGTTTAGCTGCTGGCTGGACTAGGCAAACAGTAGAGTTTTTACAGAAACTTAAGCACATATGAAAGAAGAAATAAGGAATCTATAGAGAGAAGAAGATTAAAGCTTTAAAGAACAAGAGAAGAGCAGAAAATGAATAAAGAAAACAAAAAAGAAGATAGGGACAAATACTTGAGGAGCTGAAGAAATCATGCCAGATGAAGAGTTTAGTCACAAAAGATTTTCCTATATGTTTTCTAGTGTTTAAAAAAAATGAATTTAGTTATTTACCAGGAATTTGTAATCAATTGCAGTCAAATAGATATATATTTTTGTGGGTAACTCATTCATATCCTAACCAAACTTGGGTTGCACTGAGGACCTGCTGGATCTTAAGGCATTCTAACTGGTTCTATAAGGTAGATACCATTTGTATCACTTCTTAAATATGTTTAATTCCAAAAATTAATGTATGTCTTATCTTTTTTTTTTTTTTTTTTCCTTTATTGATTTTAGACAGAGAGGAAGGGAGAGGAGAGAGAGATAGAAACATTGATGAGAGAGAACATCGACTGGCTGCCTCCTGCAGGCCCCTCACTGGGGATGGGGCCCACAACCTGGGCATGTGTCCTGACCAGGAATCAAACCAGCAACCTCTTGGTGCATGGGTTGACGCTCAACCACTGAGCCACACCGGACAGACTTAATTTATGTTTTAAATGTACTGAGGTACCTTACTACCTAAACATTGTCTATTTTATCTTTGCTGTGAGTCAAACTTTTATAAACTGTATGAAATATGATTTCAGTACCTGAATCTGTTTAATATAGATATATGCATTTTAAGATTTAAGCATAATTTCTACTAAGACTTTAAAGTATATAGTTAAATTTATCTAATAGTATATGATTAAGAAAGTTAAAATTTAGTTTATTTCCATTCATTTTATTTAGTACATGATCTCTTACCTTTTCACCATCTTGCTTCTCCAGATGGGTTTCAGGTGCTGAACGAACATCTTTATCACTATTTCCATCCTCAAATTCAATCACACTCTGTTCATGTTCTTCTTCCAGGAATTCTTCTGAGCTCTCTGATATATGTGCAGTAGACTCCAGTCTAGAAAACCAAAGAAAACCATTCTAACTTGCTTTTTAAAGGATGAATATGAATTTCAAGAATCTGTTAATAAATTAACACTTTAGAGAATCAATAAGTGTTCTTCAGTCAACAACCTTAAATTTTACAGGTCCAAAACTAATCTCTTCATTCTACAAATTTGTTCTTTCCTACCTTGTTCTCCCATTCAGTTACTAACATCACCATCTTTTCAGTCATGTAAACTAGACCTTTCTTTTTCTCTATCCATAGCTGATCAGACCTCACTGTATTAGAATTAACATACATCCCAGTTTACCTGGGACAATTCAGTTTATAGCTTTTATCTCAGCACTAGCATATTGTAATGCCCCCTTCTTTCTCAAAAATATCACTTTGGACCATAAATAATATAGTTTAGTTCTAACTCTGAAATGCCTTTCAAACATATTCCTATTACCATTTTCAAGCCCCAATTCTCTCTGGAGAATTCTCACTATAACTTCTCAATTCATCTTTTTAAAAATATGTTGTTTTTGTTTTTGTTTTTTTTCGTTTTGAAAGAGAGAGGAAAGGAGAGGGGGAGAGAGAAATATCAATGTGACAGAGAAACATTGATCTGTTGCCTCTCATACACACCCAGACCAGGATCAAACCTGCAACCTAGGTGCTCTGACCGGGAATCAAACCAGTGACCTTTTCGGTGCACAGGACGATACTCAACCAACTGAGCCACAATGACCAGGGCACCCAATTCATCTTAATACTTGTTCTTTAGTAAGGTTTTCAGAGCAATGCTACTAATATACTTATCTGTACCTGTGACAGTCCCTCTCAGAAAATTCTCATGGTTTTCTATGGCTTAGAGAATAAGGTGTACCTCCTTTCAAAGCCAAACATGACCAACCAAACCCTTATTTTTTTTTTATCTCCTACTAGATGCTACTGTAACAGTAGAAAATTATAACCCACCCCATAATTCTTTTTGACACAGTTTCTGCAAATGCTGACTCTGACTAATATGTAGCTTGCAGGTAAACATCATGTTTGTATAAGAATCCTAGAAGCTAACTTCAGAAGATGCAGACTCCAACCTTCAGTCATCCCAGTTCTGGGAGCTTTGCTGACCTTCAACCATAGAACCAGGATGACGAAGAACCAGGACGATGCACACCAGACCATCACTTGACCAGTTTCAAGATTCTTATCAGAATGAACTATGCTGGCCTGCACGCAGAGAACTTTTCAATTCCCTCTTTGATTTCTTTGTTCTGCTTTCCCTCTCCCTCCTTATAAAAACCTCTGCCTGCACTGAGATGTTGAGAAGGGCTTTGTGACAAGGGTCCCCTATTTTCTCAAGTTACTGGCACTGAATAAACCTGTTTCCTTTTTCACCACCTTTCATGGTGGCAGGCAGTCAAACCTTGGTTTCAGTCACACTACCATTTATTGTGTATCAGTTATCCTTTTCAACATTCCTCTTAGCTTTGTGCCTTTGTTCATGTTATTCCTATACTCTAGATCTGCACAATGCAATACAGTAGCTACAAGACACGTCACTATTTATATTAATTAAAATTAAATTAAATTACAAATATAGTTCCTCAGTTGCACTAGCCACACTTCAAGTGCTCAATGGGCACACTGGGTAGTGGCTGCCACATTAGTCAGGGCAGACACAGAACATTTCTTTCATTGCAGAAAGTTCTTTGGACATGCCTGGTATAGATCCAGGGTCAGCAAACTTTTCCTTTATGTTTTGTGGGCCACCTGATCTCTAAATAACTACTCAACTCTGCCACTGTAACTCAAAGCAATCATAATAAACATGCAAACTAATGAGTATGGATGTGTTACTATAAAATTTTATTTACAACAACAGGTGGTAGGCCAGATTTGGCCTATGGACCATAGTTTGTGGACCCTTGGTCTAGAAAGTCTTCCCTCCCAACTCTGCTTGTTAAGTTTCTGCTTATCTTTGAGGCCCTAGCCCAAATATCAAATGTGTCCATCCCCTCAATTAGAATCAGTCACATTCTCCTCTGCATTCACAGCATTTTGCACTTCTGTTATTGCACCATCATAATTTACCTTGCAGTGCTCTTCACCTGTGCCACAGACAGATACGTGTATTAGAAACCACTAGGTATTCTTCAAGGGCAAAGATAAAATTATGTTCTTTGTAGTGTCTGAGTAGGCATTCAAACATTTAGTCTTACTGTTACTGTTCTGTTTATAAAAATAAACCAAATTCCACATCATTCTGAGATGTTCAATTTAAAATGCATTGTTACAGCCCTGGCCGGTTTGGCTCAGCGGTTAGAGCATCGGCCTGCGGTCCGGAGAGACCCGGGTGCGGTTCCCGCTAAGGGCATGTATCTCGGTTGCAGTTTGTCCCCGGCCCTGGTTGGTCGTGCGGGTGGCAGCCACTTGATGTGTCCCTTTCACGTCGATGTTTCTCTCTCTCTCTCTCTTCCTCTCCCTCCCTCCCACTCCATCTGTGCAAAAAGTGGGAAAAAATGTCCTCGGGTGAGGATAAAAAAAAATAAAAATAAAATAAAATAAAATGCATTGTTACATTTCCTTCTAAAAAGGATATTACATCAAAATATGGCTCAGCAAGAAAAATCATAATTATCTAAACTCTTATTCTTTTTACAAATTACTAGATTTAAACATTTATTTATATTTACCTTTAACATGAATTTTTCACAAAAATAACACATTTATGTATTTACTCAATTCTGAAAATTCAAAACTATTTACATAATAAAATTAGTATAGCTACAGAATTCTCTACCTGAGTAAAATAACTTCACAGCTAAATTGGCAAAGCTATGAATGACTGACTCAGGGACAGTTGAAAGGACCGGTAGAGCAAAAGTAGAATTTTAATACAAAATTAAAAATCTTGTTTTCTTGCCCTGGCCAGCTTAGCTCAGCAATTAGAGCACTGACCTGTGGACCGAAGGGTCTTGAGTTCGATTTCTGGTCAAGGGCATGTACCTGAGTTGCAGGTTTGATTCCAGGCCTCAGTCAGGGTCATGTGGGAAGTAACCAATCAATGTGTCTCTCTCACATGGATGTTTCTCTCTCTATCTCTCTCCTCTCTCTCTCCCCCTTCTATCTCTCTCCTCTCTCTCTCCCCACCCCTCCTCCCCTTCCAGTCTATCTGAAAAACAATGGAAAAATATCCTCGAATGAGGATTAACCTCCCCCCAAAAATCTTGCTTTGAGATTCAAAGAAAGATAAAGGATAAATTCTGACCAAAGTGTTCTATTGAGTAAGAGGAACTGTCTGTACCATTTGCAATTATCACTAATTTATGTTATAGCCAATTACCCAATGAAATGCATCAGTTATAACGTAAAATTGAGAGTTTGTTTTTTGAATATTTTTTCTTTATTGATTTTAGGGAGAGAGGAAGGGAGAGGAAGAGAGAAATAGAAACATCAATGGAGAGAACAATGACTGGCCACCTCCTGCGTGACCCCTACTGGGGATGGGGCCCAAAACCTGGGCATGTGCCCTGACCGGGAATCGAACCAGTGACCTCTTGGTTCATGGGTTGACACTCAACCAATAAGCCACACCAGCCAGGCAAATTGAAGATTTTTTAAACTAACTACACCTTAGCATTACTAAAAACTACAGCTACTGTCAAATTCAAAGTTGGTGATAATGACACATTTGGGATAATCAACAGAATATTCCCCTGGATTTTCACACCTAACAAATTAAATTGAGTTTATTCCACTCTCTTACTAGCAAATTCTCCCCATAACATTGTAAAAGTGATACCACTGGTAAGAGTAATCAATAATCTTGTAGAATAATTCAAATACAAACTCCTATAGGAAGGTCACTAGCTACATTAACAATAAAATAATAGCCTCCACCTTAAATACTAAATACTAATAATATGAAAATAAGAATAAACCTAATAATGAGAGTAAAATAAATAATACTTTACTTGTTTACTAAAGCTGTAGGTGAAGTCTGGGGTGTCTTTTCATCTTCCCCTGGAGAACTGCTAAATTCAGAATCCTGAAACCGCTTTCCAATCTTTGGTCGCTTCAGATGACTACTTCGAGTACGAGTGGAAACTGGTGTTTTATCGTGACCTAAGAAAAAACAGCAAAACTACAATTAATTGATTATGCATTCAAAGATTACCCATTAAAATTCACAGAAATGCAAAACTATACCAGTTTACGTGTATACACACTTCCTGCTCTCACATCAGACTTAGAAACAATGTCAGTTATCTTTTTCTAAATTATGAAATAACTGTGTCAATACTCATTCCTCATTTTCCATGTTACCGTGAATTTTACAAAGTGTTTTAGCATTTTCACTGATATTTTCTCCTAATAATCTTGGGAAATAAACAAGGTAAATGTTACTGTCCATACTTTACAGGTAATAAAATGAGGAAAAGAGAGGTACCATAGCTCACTTTGTTCACACAGTAAAATCAGTGGTAGTGGTGGCATTAGGATCCATATCTAGACTTTAGAGCTGGATAAGTCTTCACTTACTCCAAGGGACACTCACACACACACCCCTAATTCTAAGTGTCTCAAACACTTTATGATAGATCAGCTGATTTCTTACCTTCAGAAGTGCTTGCAAAGGCATCTTTTAGAGAATCAATCTAAAAATAGAAATACAGATTAAAACCAAAAGTTTTAGATCATTTTTTTCTTCCTATGGATCTACTTCATTCAGTGTCAAAGAAAATCTTCTAAAAAGTTTTTCAAATAGCACTTATTGTACTCATTATTCGAAAACTTACTTAAGAAATAAAAAGGCTATGTTACAGCCTCAGTTTACTATGAGCCCAAGAACGTATCAAGCCATCTCATGTATTATAGTAGTAAATACTGGAGATTCCAGTATTCTGTCCTCAGCTACCTTCTCTTTACAATCCACATGCTTTCCCTTTGTAATTTTGTCTACTACCTTCACTACAACATCTATCTGCTAATGAATCCAAACATACAACTTAATTTCCCCAACTTCTTTCCTGATTTCCAAAGTTGTATTTCTAATGAAATATCTCCCCAGTGGATGCTCCATCCAATTTCACATCCAACCTGCCCCAAACTGAACAATATTATTGTAATATTCTTTTCCCATTATTCCTATCTTGGTTAAATGGCAGTAACGATTTAATCAGACAGTAATGACTTCTTCCTATCCCTCATTCAATCAACCACAAAGCCTGTCAATTCTGACTTTGAAAAATCTCTGAAAACTGCTCCCTCCTTTGTATTGCCAATGCTTTCATTCAGGCCTTTATCATCTCTATTTTTTATTTTATTTTTTTAATCCTCACCAAGGATATTTTTTTCTCATTCATCTTCAGATAGAGTAGAAGGGAGGGGGAGGGAGAAAGAGAGAGAGAGAAACATCGATGTGAGAGAGACACATCGACTGGTTGCCTCCTGCATGACCCCGATCAGGGCCAGGGACCGAACCGAAACTGAGGTACATGCCCTTGACCAGAATCGAACCCAAGACTCTTTTTAGTTCTCAGGCCAACACTCCAACACGGAGCCAAACCGGCCAGGTGGGCCTTTATCATCTTTAGCATCAACAGTTCTAACAGCCTCCTCACCGGTATCCCTCATTCTAGCCACATGACCCATAATCCTCTCCATCCTGATGACAATGATGCTTCCCAATTGCAAACTGTGCTATTCCTTTACATTAAAAAAAAAATTAATGGTTTATTACTGCCTTAAATACAAACTCTCAACATCTCCAATGCCATATACTCTTCCATGTCAAACATGCCATCTTCTTTCACCTCTGTCTTTTTATACATGCTATCTATCCCCTTGGAATGCCCTAGCAACACTTGGCACAGAACTCCCACATACATTTAAAAGTCAGCTCAGCTCAGTTACTACTTCACCAATTCCAGACCCTAGGTAGAGTTATACTCTTTTATGTACCTGCAATCACTTGCTATGTGCTCTGTTAAGGCAATTATTATCCTATAGTATATTTGTTTACGTAACTGTTTCTAATATGGACCATCTACTTCTCCTATGCATAACAGACCCATTATTTGTATGTCCAGCACTTGCCACAGTACTGTACCTACTTTAATACATGAACTGCTATCCAGTCACACACTAACCAAAATCCTAAAATAGTATAGGCACATACACTTCAAAAGTGTGTTTATAGGTCACAAACGAGGGAGCAACTGTGATGGATAAGATAAAAATCCTGTGTTTGAGAAGCCTGTAGTTCTACTAGACAAGGTTAAGACATAAAGATGAATAAATAAAAGGTACAAAAAGTGAAGCACAGCCCTAGCCGGTTTTGCTCAGTGGTTAGAGTGTCAGCCTGCAGACTACAGAGTCCCGGTTCGGTTCCTGCTAAGGGCATGCACCTCAGTTGCAGTTTGTCCCCAGCCTGGTTGGGGTCGTGTGGGTGGCAACCACTGGATGTGTCTCTCTCACATCAACATTTCTCTCTCTCTCTTCCTCCCTCTCTCCCTCCCATTCTATCTGATGATAAATGCAAAAAAATGCCCTCAGGTGAGGATTGAAAAAAACAAAAATGAAGCACATATAATGTTTTATGTTCAAAAACAGGAAAAAGCAAACAGAAATACCATCAAGAATAAATCATGTAGTGATAATCATTTCACAATGTATATGGATGTTAAAATATAAAGTTGTACATCTTAAAGATATATAATTATTTGTCAATAATATCTCAATAAAGCTAAAAAATATACCATGCAGTAAAAATGAACAAATAAAACTACTTCCACGTGTGGTTACTAATAAAAAGAGAGATACAATAGCTTAACATTAGAAATAAATATTTTCCTTGAACTATTATAATATTAAATATTAAGAATATGAATTTCTAAAATGAAAGAAAACCTAATTTATGCTGCCAATCTCATGACAGTGCAATTTTAATATATTCTTACTAAAATGACACATTGAAAATTATTTGACTTAATATTAAAATAAATAGTCTCACTGCATATATGGGAAAAGTAAATTTTCTCTTTTTCTGGTTTTATGATATCTGACCGAAACTAAGTGAATATGAGTATAACTGAGGAATTTGGACTACAATATAATAGAACTGAGGCATGTTCTAAAGTTTGAAGTTCCAAATGTAGAAAAAAAATTTAGAAGTCTAAATTCCTTATATATAGTTATTATTTATATTATTCTTAAATACATTTAAAATTTTTCACTCACATAGTCAACAATCATGCTAATTAAAACAGGAAATAAGAGGAATAAATAATTCCCCAAAGCACGTGTCTCTGAAACACATGTGCATTTACATAGACACACTCAACTTGCTAAAAATATACTGATACCTGTGTACAAAACAAATATGACTATAATAAGTGCCAACACAGCAAAACACTGCATAAAAATAGACTTCTAGTATCCTATCAATGGACCTGTATTTAGAGTATTATCAAATTAGCTCTAGGAAAGTACCTACCTGGTTAGTCTAATAATGGGACCTACCCTTCTAATTCCAGGTTACCTAGTATTTGCAACATGCATTTCATTCTACAAAGGCCTAGCACACAATTATTGAAATTTAGCTTCGCCTTGGTCGGTTTGGCTCAGTGGTTGGAGCATGGGCCTGCGGTCCAGAGAGACCTGGGTTCACTTCCTGCTAGGGGCATGTACCTTGGTTGCAGTTTGTCCCCGGCCCTGGTTGGGTTGTGCGGGTGGCGGCCACTCGATATGTCTCTTTCACATTGATGTTTCTCTCCCTCCCACTCTATCTGAACAAAAAATGAAAAAATGTCCTTGGGTGAGGATAAAAAAGAAAAAGGAAAGAAATTTAGCTTCAAACTTCCCACAGTAACTTCATAACCTTTGGCCTACTATTAATTCCACCTTTAGAAACTTATCTGTGCAAGGAAAATATTACATATGCACAATGATGCATGTATAAATGTGTACATTACATTATAAATGTAAAACTTTAATATGTTAAGGAAATAAATGATGGTATTTACATATAATAAACTAGTGTGCTGCTATTTAACTATCATATTTAGAAACAGTATTCTGAAAATGCTTAAAATGTCACATTAAAGGAGAAAAAAAGTTAGAAGCAGTGTACAAGAAAACAAAAGTAGCCCTGGCCAGTGTGCTCAGTGGTTAGAGTGTCACCCTGCACACCAAAGGGTCTCGGATTCGATTCCCAGTCAAGGGCATGTATCTGGGTTGCAGATTTGATCCCCAGCCCAGATCGGGGCTCACGTGGGAGGCAGCCAAGCAAGCAATGTCTCTCTCTCACATCAATGCTTCTCTCTCTCTCTCTCTTCCTCTTTCTCTCTCTCCCTTCCACTCTCTTTAAAAATCAGTGGAAAAAAATATCCTCAAGTCAGAATTAACAAAAGCAAACCAACCAACCAACCAACAAAAATGTATGCAGATACATGTATATTATATACAAAATATTAACAGTTGCTATATCTGGAGAAGTGGGATTACAATTTTTTATTTTCTTCTATATTATTTTATGTGTACTCCAAATTGTTTTTCAAATAAAATTAACAAATTAAAAGATGCCAGAAAACTAACACAGTAGAAATTACATAAGTTTGTTGAATGAACAATAACATTTAAAAAGTAAATATTGACTGAATCTATTTCAAAGAAACAGAAAAATTACTTCCTGCGATAAATACACAGTGTACCTACAGTTAGCTGCATCTCACTGGACTGATTGTCTTCAGTTCCTGCTTCATATTCTGGAACAGATGCAAGACCATATTCCCCAGACATGGGTCTTTTAGCTTCATTTGGAGAAACTGCAGTGTGTAGAAGAATTTTACAAATTGTAACCCAATCAGTATTTGGTTTTCATTGTAACATTGTTCTGATTTTCACAAAAGCCCTGCAGAGCAGCATGAATGAAGGGTATTGAAAATCTAGGTGTGGGATATACCCTTCACCAATATCTTACAGTAAAACCTGGAAATTATAAACAGTCTTAAATAATCGTCTGTATTTTGTGACTTTGAGGAGAGATGCACGAGACTGGGAACTACCTCTGATCCCCTAATGCCTATTCTATACTGTTTCAGTAATCTCTGTTTATGTCTTACCCACCAATTCCTACTGGATTATTATATTCTGTTGGGCTATTCTTAGTGACTCAAATATTAACACATAAAAAAAACACCTTACTTTAGAAAGAGGTCTGTTAGCAGAGAGATCACATCACAGTACACCACGGCTCTGCACTGGTGAGACTCACTCACCATCAGGCACTGCTGCCTTCCAGTGGGACACGTGTTCAAACTAAAAACATTCTTACCTGTAATTTTAAGTGTTTCTCTTTGTAATGCTCTGGTGACCGGTACTCGCTGGCACCAGTGTCCAACACCTTCAACCTCCCAAAGGAGTTCGTGGTCTCCTGGATACTTTTCAAAGTACTGCTTGCAAGCTGAAAAACACATTTAGAATTTTCTAGAAATCCCAAATATCAATTGTTTTAGAAAACAAAAGGTAGAAAGCTGCCAACTCACTTAATGGGCTAGCATAACTTTGATACCAAAACACCAAAGCAACTCAAGAAAAGTATACAGTTGTCTTGTTTACATAAAAATTCTAAATAAATTTCCATATAAAAGTTTTAACATGACCAAGCAATAAAAATCCTAATAAATGATGACTTTAACCTTTAAAGAGAAAACTACTAAATTTTATTGAGGAACATAAAAGAAGAACTGAACAAAAGAATTGTTACATTCAACAGGTAAAAATGCCAACTGTCTCCAAATTATTTTATAAATTTGATGCAATCCTAAACAAAATCCCAACAGAATTTCTTTTTAATGGAACTTTGCAAAACTTGATCCCAAATCAAAATAAAGAACAAAAGTTAAGAAAAAATATTGAGATCAATTTTGAAGGAAAAAATGAGGATTTACCCTAGTAGATATCAAATATCATCATAAAGGCACAGTAATTAAAACAACCGGTACTGACATAACAATATGAAACAAGAGAAGCAAGAAGAGGAAGAGGAGGAGGAGGAAGAAGAAAAATATAAATACCAGAAAAGAACCACACATACACTAAAAACTTGGCAAATAACAGAGGAGGCATTGTATCTCAACAGAGAATGAATAAACTATTAAAATAATGATGCTAGAATAAAAACCCATATAGAAAAAAAAAAACTCTGATCTTGACCTCACATCATCATTCATAACAATAAATTCTAAATGGATTCTAAAACCTATTATGAAAAGCAAAACGTTTAAAAGAAAACCTAAGAAAATACTTCCGGAACATTAGAGTATTAAAGATTTCTTATAAAAAATACAAAAATCATAATCCATAATAAAATATTATAATAACCCTGTTAAAGCTTAAAACTTTCTATATCAGTACTAAGCAACAGAGCTTTCCACAATCATGAAAAGGTCCTATATCAGTAATGTCCAATACAGTAGCCACTAGCCACATGTGGATACTGAGGAACTAAATTTATAATTTCATTTAATTAAACTTAGATCTAATTTATATTAGTGGCTGTTGTATTAGATTGCACAGTTTTATATAAAGACACAGATTAGGAGATATTCAGAATAAAGTGAAGGATTAGTACTCCCATCACACAAAAACTCCTAAAATTGAATTATCGCCCCTTCCCCAAATTAGCAGAGGTTATGAACAGGAAATTAACACATAATGAAACTTGAATGGTCACTGAACAAAGATAAAGATGATAAATCTCACTAGCTGCCAAGGAAATATAGGATGAAACAAGTTACCATTTTCACACCCACTAGATAACAAATAGTAAGCATCAGAAGAATAAGGAAAATGGACTCTACTGGTCTCAGAACAATTTTGCAACAATTAGTAATTGAAAAGACATTTTCTTTTTTTTTTATCCTCACCTGAGGACATTTTTCCATTTTTTTTTTTTTTGTACAGATAGAGTGGGAGGGAGAGAGAGGAAGGGAGAGAGAGTGAGAAACATTGACGTGAAGGGACACATCAAGTGGCTGCCACCCACATGACCAACCAGGGCCGGGGACAAACTGCAACCGAAGTACGTGCCCTTAGCGGGAACCGAACCCGGGTCTCTCCGGACCGCAGGCTGACGCTCTAACCGCTGAGCCAAACTGGCCAGGGCTGAAAAGACATTTTTATCGATCCAATTCTACTTCTAGGTATATACCCTAACGACTCATATATATGCACAAGAACACATTTATAATGTTCATTATAGGACTGTTTTTAAACTAGGGTAGGGGGTACAACCTAAGTGCCAGTCATTAGTGTATATATGAATAAATTATAATATGTATACATTAAAACACTATACAGCAGCTATAAAAAACTATAGCTACATATATCAACATTAATAAATCTTTTAAAAGTCAGTAAAAAAGCAAGTATATGTAAAAAATGATGTCATTTATATAAAGTTTAAAACACATTAGACAAAATGATGCAAACTCTATGGAAAATAGTTTAGCAATTCCTCAAAAAGCTGAACACAGAATTACCAAGTAACCTAGCAATTCCCCTCTCAGGTTTATATCCAAAAGCAGGGGCTCCTCAGACAGCTATCTGTACACCAATGTCCGTAGCGGGATTATTCGCAATAGCCAAAAGGTAAAACAACCCAAGCATCCATCAAGAGATGAATGAATAATGAAATATGATGTGCACACAATAAAACCCAACTCAATCATAAAAAGAAATGAAATTTGGATATATGCTACAACTTCAAACATTACGCTAAGCAAAATTAGACAGACACTAAAGGAATATTGCATGATTCCACTTATATAAGATGCCTGGAATAGGAACTCATAGAGAAAAAGAGAAGACAAGAAGTTACCAGAGAAGAGGGGAAGGGGAGAAAAGAGAATTATTGTTTAAAGGGTACAGAGTTTATGTTAGGGGTGATGAAAAAATTTTGAGTACAGATAGTGGTGATGGGTATACTGCATTGTGAATGTGATTAATGCCTCTGAAATGTACACCTACATGGTTAAAATGATAAATATTATATAATGTAAATTTTGTAACAAAAATGTTTTAAAATTTTAAGATAAAAAAAGCACACAAAATAATGTTGTATAGCATTTATGAATATAGACGTAAGTATAAAACCATTGGAAGGAAGGATATACACCCACTTCAGGAACACAATGATCTCTGGAGAGGTAAGAAGAAAGGGGAGTGGGGTTAGGGAGGGGTCTAAGAGAATATCGACTGTATCTACAATGTTTTATTTAGTTTTTCCTAAAAATAAATGAAAACAAATATTGCAAAATCCCAGTGTTTGTTCATCTGTATAATGGGTACATGGACACAAGGATGCTATTCTCGCTTTTCTCTATATGTTTAAAACTATTTCTCATGTTTTGATTTTAGTTTTCATACCTATTAGGGAGAAAGAAGTTAGAGAAAACCAACACAACAGGCCAAACTGAGTCCTTTGCCTGAATTAAAATAACTAAAATAGTAGAGAAAGACTTACATAACAAATCTGAGGTCCAACAGGAGTACTTTACAATAGGTGGTGCAGGTTGAAGGTCCTAATTCAGATGTGTCTAGCCAGAGAGTCATAGTCAGAAAAGGAGAACTCTTATGCTTATACCATTCAGCTCAGTGCCACAGAAGGTCATGTGCCCACAAGAGAGAACATTCATCATCTAAGCAGCACTGACTACTGGAGACTTCTTTCATTTACTGACATTTTATGTGCAGCACTAAGACATTCACCCTGGCCATATAATTCTTTTAAAGCCAAGGCTTTACGGATATCTTCTCCATAGATACTCCCCAATGTTAAATGTCTCCAAACTATTTTAACATTCTTTGCCTCAAAGAATCCTTTCACAGAGATTTATTGAGCATATTCTGTGAAGACCCAGACTGAGGACTGTTACAGAAAAAAATATTCATAGAATTTATCGACCAGGAATCCAGATTCAAAAATGGTGTTAAAATAAAAACCTAAAGAAATAAGGTAGAAAGTAGTTAAGTAGCACAAGAACATTATGGGTAGATTACCACAAAATTACGAGAAGATAAATATCTGCTGGACAGAAATCAAGCAAGCTTTCAGTCTGGGCCTAACAAAGGAGTCGATTCTGGGAAACCCAAGAAAATTAACTACAGAGTTATTACAAATTTAGTGATGTAGCTGGGTATAAAATTTATATATCTCCTTCATGTATATAATTAACCACCAATTAGAAGAAATAATGGAAGAATATACATTTACAATGGCAACAACAACAACAAAATTCCTAAACATACACATTTTTTCCGAAGTTAACTCTAAGAACTGTATGGAGAAAATACAAATGCTAATTGATTTAAATAAAATCATACAATTATAATACTGTTGGATAGAAAAAAAATCTACAAAGTGAATTCTGAAGTCCATACTAGAAAATAAATAAGCAAAGCCAGAAATACTAAATGAAAAAACTAGTCTTTCCAGATATTCCAAAGCTAAAATAAAATTAAAAAAAACAGTGAAGTACTGGGACTTTAAAAAAAAGATTAATAGAAATAAATCAAGCCCTGGCCGGTTTGGCTCAGCGGTTAGAGCATCGGCCTGAGGTCCGGAGAGACCCGGGTTCGGTTCCCGCTAAGGGCATGTACCTCAGTTGCAGTTTGTCCCCGGCCCTGGCTGGTCGTGCGGGTGGCAGCCACTTGATGTGCCCCTTTCACGTCGATGTTTCTCTCTCTCTCCCTCCTACTCTATCTGTGCAAAAAATGGAAAAATGTCCTCGGGTGAGGATTAAAAAAAAAAAAAAAAAGAAAGAAAGAAATCAAAAGATGAAAATATGCATACACACAAATTTAATGTATGATATAGATTAAGAGTTAGCAATTTTTTTCTTAAAGGATCAGATAATAAATATAGACTTGCAGGCCATATGGTCACTGTCTTAACTAACCAACTGACATTTTAGTGCAAAAAAAAAAAAAAAAAAAAGAAAGCTATAAACAATATGTAAATGAATGAGTGTGGCTTGGTCCAATAAAATTTTGTTTACTAAAAAAGTTAACAGACCAGTGGACCATGGCTTACTGACTCCTGATATAGATGTAAATACAAATCAATGAAAGAAAAAAAAATTCAATAAATGTTACCTTAACAACCAGATAACTCTCAGGTAAAATAAACTTGGATCTATACCTTACATGGTACACGCCAGAATAAACTACAAATGGATAAAAGATTCATGAGATCGCCCTGGCTGGTTTGGCTCAGTGGTTAGAGCGTCAGCCCACAGACCAAAGAGTTGCAGGTTTGATTCTAGTCAAGGGCATGTGCCTCGGTTGTAGTTGGGTCCCCAGCCATGGTCAGGGTTGCGCAGGAAACAGCCAATTGATGTGTCTCTCTCACATCGATGTTTCTCTTTCCCTCTCCCTCCCTCCCACTCTATCTGAAAAAATAAAAATGTAAAAATATCCTCGAGTGAGGATAAAAAAAAAGAAAAAGAGTCATGAGATCTTATCTATTCCATGTCATTAAGTATACATTATAAAGTACTATGTAAATGCACTTCCCATAGTTAGCTAATCATCTACTCTAGCCTCAGACCAAGCCCTGTCATACTTGGCACTCATTACCCATTTGTGGAATGAACAAATTATCTCTATTTTTTTTTTTAAAGGCTTACATGTAAAACAGTATAATCTTTCCTAAATGTTAAAAAATATTCACGGAAACAAGCGAAGGTCATCAAAAAACGTTTGGACATACAGCAATATCAAGGAACTATTAATTAACTAAGTTGAAAGAGAAAATCAATTGGAAGTCTAAGTCCTTCAAATATAGTAAGTATTGCACAGGAGAGATAGGAAGAACAAGAAACAAAAAATGATGGAAAAGCCACATAGTCGAAACATATTCCTTTATTTTCACATTTCAAAGAGTATTTATAAAATTATACTAATGACATCAAGAAGTCACTGTCAAGAAATCTCCTAACAAAGAAAAATTAGGAGTTCAAGGCTTTATGCAAAGACAGAGGTTAGCTGACATGAACCTGTAATTCATGTGCTTTTCAATTTATTTATCATTAGAATCCTAGAAAAGAATATTAAGAGATTCTTCCTGCAATAATCTATTGTGTTTGCATTTCTCCCCAAATTTAGTAAAGTAATAATTAGACTTTAGAGGGAAAAATCTATGTTCAGATTATCAAAGGGTACACAGGGTTCATTCCATTCTCATATATGGGTCTAGAGAAAAACTATGATTCAAAATGGGAATGCAACATTTGGTTCTTGTTTTCTAGATTTTTAATATTAAAAAGAGGGATGAAACTTAGAACATATTTATTTTTTGTTCAAATAAACACCTGATGTTAGAGTAGAATCAATGGTAAATTGTACTTTATAAAAGTTTTCAAATAAATTACTTTCCAGGATTATATATCTTCCTATATTATGAAATAAATAGTCCTGGCTGGTTTGGCTCAGCAGTTAGAGCGTCAGCCTGCAGACTAGAGAGTTCGGATTCGGTTCCTGCTAAGGGCATGTACCTCAGTTGCAGTTTGTCCCCGGCCCCGGCTGGGGTCGTGTGGGTGGCAGCCAGTCGATGTGTCCTTCTCACATTGATGTTTCTCTCTTTCTCTTCCCCCCTCTCTCCGTCCCTCCCGCTCTATCAGAAGATAAATGCAAAAATGTCCTAAGGTAAGGATAAAAAAATAAATAAATAGTGCCCAGCCAGTGTAGCTCAGTAGTTGAGTGTCAACCCAGGCACCACGAGGTCGCTGGTTCAATTCTCGGTCAGGGTACATACCCAGGTTGTGGGAAAAGTCTCCAGTGGGGGGCATGCAGGAGGCAGCCAATTGATGTTCTCTCTCATCGATGTTTCTCTCTCTCCCTCTTCCTTCCTCTCTCTTTAAAATCAATAAAGAATAAATAGTTCCATGAAATTTACATAAATGTAAATATAAATCCACTAGTAGTTTTTAAAACATCACCACATGGTATAGCCATACCATGGAATACTAAACAGCACTGAAAATGAATATATAGAGCTATGTGAATCCACATTAATGAATTTCATAAACATAAGAAAGCAAAGTACATAAGAATTCATACAGTACCACTCATTTAGATAAAGCTTTTAAATATTTATAATAATGTGATATATTGTTGGAGAACATATACATATGTATTAAAAGTCTAAAATCATGAAGAAAATAAATGCCAAATTGAGGACAATGCTTAATTCGAGGAAGGCAGTAAGCTAACTGAGTAAGAGTACAACTGTGTTGGCAATGATCTGTTTCTCATGGATAGTACGTGCTGGTGCTACATAAGTACTTACATTATTTTGTATGCCTTTAGGTATGTCTAAAATTTATTTCTCTCTCTCTCTCTCTTTTTTCATTTAAAAATTACCACAGACAAATAACCCAAAGAAAAAATGGTCAAATAATCTAAACAGACATTTCTCCAAAGAAGACATACAAATGGCCAATAAGCACATGAAAAGATGTTCAACATCAAATGGAAATCAAAACTACAGAGACCACTTCACATCCACTCAGATGACTATTATAAAAAAGGCAGATAATAACTATTGGTGAGGATGTGGAGAAATTGTAACCCGCATACATTGTTTATGGGAATGTACAATTGGAAAACAGTCTGGCCATTCCTCAACATGTTAAACCTGGAGTCACCATATGAACCAACAATTCCATCCACATCTAGGTAAATACACGAGAAATGTCCACACGGAAACTACACAAATGTTCATTGCAGCATTATTCATAATAGATTAAATGTAGAAACAACTTAAAAGTCCATCAGCTGATGATGGATAAACAAAATGTGGCATATCCATACAATGGAATGTTCTTTAACCATAAAAAGGAATGAAGCACTGATTCATGCTATAACATAGGTGAATCTTGAAAACATTTACACAAAATGAAAGAAGCTAGACACAAAGGGCTTATCATATAATCATATCACATGATTCCATTTATATGAAATGTCCAGAATAGGTAAATCCAAAGAAACAAAAAATAGATGAGTGGTTGCTAGGTAATGGAGAAAAGGGGGAATGGAGAGTGACTGCTAATTGGTGTAGTTTCTTTCTGGGATGAGAATGTCCTGGAGTTAGATAGTAGTTATGGTTGCACAGCTGTGAATATACTAAACACCACTCAAGTGTACACTTTAAGAGGGTGAATTTTGCCTTGGCTGGTTTGGCTCAGCAGTTAGAGCGTCGGCCTGCGGACCACAGAGTCCTGGGTTCAGTTCCTGCTAGGCCCTAGTGGCTAGGGGCAGTACCAAAAAAAAAAAAAAAAAGAGGGTGAATTTTATGGTATACAAATTATAGTTCAATTCTTTTAAAAAATTACCACACCCCCCAAAAAAGCCATCTAGTGTGAGTTAAGGATATGTTTGCAAAATTAAGCCGTAGGGTACCAAAGAATCAAAATTTACTTAATATTGATATATGCATTTATAATATTCTGCAGAAACAAGTCAGAAGTGATGCTGACACAAGTTTAACATGTTTAACTTAATCCATTTACCTGTGTACATTAGAGAGGACAGTGGATACCGCAAGCCAAGTGCGTCTTCTGTAAAGGAATCAACAAAGTCCTCCAGCATATGAAGCCCAAAATCTTTGCCTCGGTATTTCTTTCTTATAAACATTGTATCAAGAACTGGCAGTTGGTAGCTTTGGGTAAGAAATGAGGCACATATGCTTCCTGCAATCGTAAGAACAGAAAGCCAACAATTTTTCACATTAAAAGACTATATATGTATGTACTTTTAGAAGACATGAGTTAACAGTCTTTCTAAAAATGACTGGTTTTTTTTGGTCAAAAAAGGGGTGCTATAATAAAACTAAGCAAAAGTAACCTCACAGGGTGATCTAATCATAAACTCCAAACTGGGCAGGTCATGGTGGGTCCTCACACCCCAGGCGTATGACTTCTTTAGTAAAAGATCTCCCTTTGCCTTGAGCAAGCCCTGTCCATTGTTTTTGCGAATCTTCACTGACATACCTTCCATGACATGCCTCATCTTCAGAACCCTGGGAAGCCTAACCACCCTCAAGAGAACACATAATCTTCATTATCCTTTAATCCAATCCCTGCCTTGCTTTCTCCCACCTCCTTAATTCCCAATGCATAAATGAAACTGAAATCCGTCATTCCGGGAAGCATTATTCTCTGAGATCTTGCTTCCCAGCACTATCATCAGGTTGGCTCAAATAAACTCTTATAAAAATAACTGTCTAGTCCGGTCAGTGTGGCTCAGTGGTTGAGCATCAACCCATGCACCAAGAGGTCGCCGGTTCGATTCCTGGTCAGGACACATGCCCGGGTTGTGGGCCTGATCCCCAGTGGGGGGCATGCAGGTTCATCGATGTTTCTCTCTCTCTCCCTCTCACTTCCTCCCTCTGCAAACTCAATAAAGGGAAAAAAATTTTTTTAAATAATAACTGTCTACACATTGGGATGTTTCTTACATCAATATTTACTACATCAAGAAGTATGTTAAAGAAATGTATACATTGTATAATATTAAATGCTTTCCAGCTATTACACATCATAACGTATACATGTGATAATGAGAAAAACTATGTATTTTATGTTTGCCAACAATATCATCTGCTACAGGACTAATAACTACTACCATTTTATGAACTATATACTTGAATATGCATCACTGTCTACAGACTTGCACAACTCTAAAACTAATCAACTACATTTTCAAATTAAGAGTATTTGATTATTGTACATAGTTAATACACAAAGTAATTCCAACTGTAATATTCATCTTTTCCCTTTATCTTTTCCCAAGTACAGTCTTGTTTTTATCTACTTAATGACAGCAAAGAAGTGAATTAGTTCTAATTTTTAAGGTCTATGAATTAGGACTGATTAAAACCATCTGTCTTAGAAATGGCTAAGTCACAACAATCTTTTTGTTATGAATGTACTTTTCAAAATATCCAGTATGTTTAAGGTTAAACAGGAGAAATAATTTTAAGTAGTATTTAAATATACCTCTCTTTATTACACAGCTGTAGTGGTTTGTCTTTTAAGAACCTTAACTGGGGTTCTGACCATCCATATAGATGTCTTAGGTCCTTGAATATGTCTTAAGATAGTTTATAAGTTGAGGGCAACATGGTGGGGCATCCTACTTTCTATTAATTTTAATATTAAGTCATAATTAGTTATCAGTCAATATTCTACAGATCTTTTTGTGCCTCAAATAATCTATTATTCTCAGTCAGATACATTCATGATTTTGGACAATTCTAATAATGTAATTTAAGGAAGAAACAAAATTTCTGGTAGCAAACATCTCACAAACTGATATATCATCTAATGAGTGGGTTGATACAATAAAACATTTTGTTTAGTTCAACCAAGTAATTTGATTTATGATTAAGTTGGAGAATTTCAATGACTTTTTGTAATAGTCTCCATGACTATTAGCTAATTTAAATTCAGAATAGGTAAACAAAGTTATATATACTTAGAACTTAACTGCTGACATTTATTTATGATATGTCGAAGGGTCAAAATATCTTATATCGTGACCATACAGTTTACAATATTATGTTGTATACTTGACATGTGGTACAAAGGTAGATCTTAACTGTTATCACAACACACACAAAAAGAAAGAAAATGAGGCAATACATATGTTAATTAGCTTGACTTTGGTGACCACTTCACAATGTATACCAAATCATTAAGCTGTCCACCTTAAATATATACAACTTTTAATTGTCAATTATACTCAATAAAGATGAATAAATTTCTTGAACAATGGACAGTCTGAAAATGAAATTAAGATAACAATTCTACTTAGAATAGCATCAACGATAAAAGTCTTAGGAGTAAATTTAACAAAAGAAGCACAGAACTTGTAGACTGAAAAGTGGAAACATTGTTAAAAGAAATTATTGAACACCTAAATAAATGGAAAAACGGCCCATGCCACTAGATCAGAATACTTAACACCCCCCCCCCCCCCCATTGAGGCGAACCTAAAACTGACAGGGAAATACAAAGGACTACCACAGGAACTCAGGTTCTTTCTATCCTGACTTCCCCATCCCCTAGGTCCTCAGCAGACAAATTAAGAACAGAAAGGCATTTTAACCACTTTGACCTGATGTCACACATATCATTTCTTTAACTACTTTGGGAAGAACTAATCACACAGACCCACCCAACTGTACAGGTGACTAGAAAATATAATCTGACTAAGCAGCTGCTGGCCAAGGACTAGAATAGAGAAAAGGAAGCAAACATCTGGCGGACAGCTAGCAGTCTCAGCTAACTTTCTCCTTTCTTTTATCTCCCACCAGACTAACACTTCCTTTTAACTTAGTATATGTGCTACAGAAGTGAGCACCCCTCCTTTTCAACTTTTAGGAAATCAATGATCACATAGCAGGTAGTACGCTGGCAGACTCCCTCCACGGTTATGTTTGGTTACCTCAGGCTGTTTTCAGTAACTTACTTACATCCACACGCCAATATCCATGAATACACATACTTTATAAAATAGTTTTGACTGATCTCATCCATATTTTCAAAATACCTTGACTTCTGTGGCCTACATAAATATCCACACCTCCCCGTGTGGTCCAACTCACATTTCTAACTATGTACTATCCCTACTTATGTCCCCTACTTATGGCAGATTGAACTTTACATGTCAAACTGAACTCAAGTTATTACCAAATCCACTCCTTCTGTCTCAGTTCACAGCTTCCCACCTAAGCACCCAAGCCAACCCCTCAAGATTCATCCCTGGTTATACTCCCTTTCCCTTCCAACACACAGTCAGTGGAGTCACCACACAAAAATCTCCCTCAAGTCTCTATCCCTACTGCCACTTTCCTAATAATAGTACTTATTTCATCTGGAATATTGAAACAGCTCTTTTCATTGACTTCAGAATAGTTTCCTACCCATCACCAAGTGCTACAAAAATTCTCTCTAAAATATTTAATCATGTTACCTCTACAGAAAACTTTTTGATAGCTTCCTTGCCATTAAAGTTCCAAAATGTAGTATGGCACTGAAGACCCTTCACAAGTGAGACTCCATCTCCCCTCTCCCCATCCACAACCCTCACCTTCAGTCCCACCAGCTTATTCAGTGATTTCCCAAATACACTGTCATACTCTGTGACTTCTTTCATGTATTTAAATTTCACTTAGCCGTGTTTACTAAGAATGCTCTTTCCCTTCCTACCTTATTTGCCTGGCATCCTTATATTTCAAAGGTACTTTTTAAAAATTGATTTTTAAAGGAGGGGGGAGTGTCTCAGAGAGAGAGAAATATCACCTGGTTGCCTCCCGAAAGTGCCTCAACCAGGGATCGACCACCTTTTGGTGTACAGGTCAACGCTCCACCCAATTGAGAAAGGCACTTTTAAATATCACTTTCTCAATGACACCTTCCTCCAGACAAAATTAACTGCTCTACTCTTCAATGACTACTATTGTTGATACCTCAAATACAGTACTTATCAAACTGAATTACAATCAGATGTTGACTGACTACAGTTGTCTGTGTCATCTACTACTAGATCTTGGTGCTTTGAGGCCTGAAGCAATGATGCCATCGCTGTGTTTCCACTGAGTATGGAGTCAGCCCAACTTCCCCAATAAACAGAACTCTTATTAGAAAGCATGTGCTTTTTAATTTTTTTATTTTATTTTTTTTATCCTCACCCGAGGACATTTTTCCATTTTTTGTTCAGGTAGAGTGGGAGGGAGAGAGAGGAACACACAGAGAGAGAGAAACATCGATGTGAAAGGAACACATCGAGTGGCTGCCACCCGCACAACCAACCAGGTCCGGGGACAAACTGCAACCGAGGTACGCGCCCTTAGCGGGAACCGAACCCGGGTCTCTCAGGACCGCAGACCGACGCTCTAACTGCTGAACCAAACCGGCCAGGGCAGCATGTGCTTTTTAGATGGCTACAACTTCAACTGAGAAATAAGTAGCCGCCTCATTTCCCAAGGACAAATTTCAGGTAGCCACCGTGTGGTGTGGGACACCCTCACGCTTTGGCTCATTTCCTAGATTACACCTAGACAGACTCAAGGCCCTAAAATATAACCTCAATCCTTCTCCAACAAAAGCTTCTGCTAGTTTTGCTTTTAGCTATATCAGCAATCCTTATTTTATATCAGTTTTGTTACTCCATAAAATAGTCTTAGAGCCAGAAATACAAATTTTAGTGAACAGAAAGTGAGTAATCTGTCCAAAAAAGGAGGGAAGATCATAGATATAGTACTCAGTAAAGTAGTCTTAAAGTCTAAGAAAAGCTAACAAATAAAGAAAGGAAAAAATTGCTTTCATTATAAATAATTTCAAATGAAAATTACAAATTTTTTTTTAAAAAGTCTCCTAGTGCCCTGGACGGTTTTGCTCAGCAGTTAGAGCGTCGGCCTGCGGTCCAGAGAGACCTGGGTTCGGTTCCTACCGAGGGCACATACCTTGGTTGCAGTTTGTCCCCGGCCCTGGTTGGGGTCATGTGGGTGGCAACCACTTGATGTGTCTCTCACATCGATGTTTCTCTCTCTCTCTCTCTTCCTCCCCTTCTCCCTCCCACTCTGTCTGAAAATAAATGCAAAACGTCCTCTGGTGAGGATAAAAAAAAAAAACATTAAAAAGTCTCCTAGTATTGTCCTGGCCGGTATTGCTCACTGGTTAGAGCA